CCTGTGCCATATTCGAACCCACCAATAAGTAGTGGGAGAGGCACCACCACCGCTTAATCCACGAAGTAGATAGGAATGAAGTATCAGATCAAAATCCAGTCGTTTATTCAAAGAACAATTGGAGGATTGATTCTTATTCACCAAGGGAAAGCAGCAGTTCCACCAGCAGCGCCAGTCGCGGTTGACCCATCATCATTTCGCGTCGCGTCCCTCTCAGATCGGGAGGCCGAAGCCTTATACGAGCCCCAGAACAAATAATGGAATGGTAATCTAATGATGACTATACTAGGAAAATTTGGCTGCTTAAGACCGGAATTTCTCTAACGCTTAACAGGGCGCCATAAAAAAATACTAAATAAGCCGTACAGAGCCTAAGCCTATTCTCATCAGCCTAAGAAGAATCGACCGAATCGATCTAATATTTCATAAATTTGTTTATCGCCAATGCTTGCTAACTGAATTTGATATTGAATTTCTATTATTTATTAATCTGACCTTTATACTTGATTAGTTGAATTAGGGAAGTAGCCTAGCTCAGCTGGGCGAAGCTTCTAATGTAAAGAGTACTCTCATTAAAGCAGGGTGACATATTATCGTTGACCTCAGACCTCACACCTGATTTTCTCTCCCTATCGGTCTCACAATTCCATTGAGCAACTCCTGTGCCATATTCGAACCCACCAATAAGTAGTGGGAGAGGCACCACCACCGCTTAATCCACGAAGTAGATAGGAATGAAGTATCAGATCAAAATCCAGTCGTTTATTCAAAGAACAATTGGAGGATTGATTCTTATTCACCAAGGGAAAGCAGCAGTTCCACCAGCAGCGCCAGTCGCGGTTGACCCATCATCATTTCGCGTCGCGTCCCTCTCAGATCGGGAGGCCGAAGCCTTATACGAGCCCCAGAACAAATAATGGAATGGTAATCTAATGATGACTATACTAGGAAAATTTGGCTACTTAAGACCGGAATTTCTCTAACGCTTAACAGGGCGCCATAAAAAAATACTAAATAAGCCGTACAGAGCCTAAGCCTATTCTCATCAGCCTAAGAAGAATCGACCGAATCGATCTAATATTTCATAAATTTGTTTATCGCCAATGCTTGCTAACTGAATTTGATATTGAATTTCTATTATTTATTAATCTGACCTTTATACTTGATTAGTTGAATTAGGGAAGTAGCCTAGCTCAGCTGGGCGAAGCTTCTAATGTAAAGAGTACTCTCATTAAAGCAGGGTGACATATTATCGTTGACCTCAGACCTCACACCTGATTTTCTCTCCCTATCGGTCTCACAATTCCATTGCCTCTTCCTGATCCCCCAAAAAAAGGCGGATGCTCCTGTAGGTAGGAGCAACTTCACCTTCGGTGTTCGGCGCTCCCTTCGAACTGATATCCAAAGATTCCCTATAATAGGATGGTTTGAAATGATGGTTTATTACAAGTTCTGGCGGCATGAATAGGATGAGCATACGAATGAGCCGGAACATGGATAAGGTAGTGGTTCGAGCCGGTCGAGAGTACGAGATTATTGACCGAAGACTGATCAATTGAGATGGGCGGAAGCCCTACTATCGAAGGAATGCATCCAATAGTGTTCTGTCTCATGGGTCCTCTCATGCTAGAATTGGCTCAACAATCCACTTTGTTCTCTCGTAAATCACTGAAATTAGAATACATAACTGATGTTACTTCGATCTGATACCTCTCGATTCAGAAAGGAATGCGCATTTGTCTTTTTTGAGTCTCCCCATCTCGATCTCTACTAATTGGATATGGGACTGGGTGAAGGGAAGCTTTATGGGAGAAAGGAGGAAAAGGTCGGTACAGTTAGTAGCTAAAGGCTTGACTCAAACATATGGTCTCGATTACGAGGAAGCCCTTATTTACCCCACCCCGATTTCCAAGATTCAGTCTGTTCGTCTCCTGCTCTCTATTGCAGCGAATCGAGATTGGCCTCTGTTCCAATTAGATGTTCCAAATTCCTTCCTGAACGGGGACCTATAAGAAGAAGTTTACATGAGTCCTACCCCCGGTTGTGTAAGGGGGAGGAGAACAAGAAAGGTCAACTGTAGTGGAAGCCAAACGACGGGGCCGAGAATCTGTGATCAATTCAAAGAACCACTGCCAGATACGATTCTGCTTCCCCTTCGTACTACCGAGATTCTTGCCCAGCTTTCTTTCGGCTTAAGAAGGCAGCGGTGAGAATGAGGATCACTTTGGAACTTGTTGAGAATGGGTGTTTTAGGGTCTAAAAGCTCTCCAACATGTTGCGGATCCTTTAGCCGTGAGAGGGTCTTTTGGCCGCCGTGTGAAGCTTATCTTGCTTTAGCAGCCACGTGATGATTCGACGTTCGTGGTAGGCGTAGGAGCTGGGCAAAGCGGTAGCCAAGCTCTGGTGGTGATGCAAGTGCGCGGTGAGCGTAGTAGCCCCCTCGGGCATGCTCTTTGTACAATAAAGCGAAGAGCTAGTAAGGGCCGGAATTGAATATCATATGTAGTGTAGAATCGAATCTGAGGCTCTTTACTAGGATTGGAACAAGCGAGGAACGAGTGACCACAAGCTCCGCTTAAGCGCTCGACATGCAGTTAGCTCAAAACATGTTCATCATGTGGCCGAGCGAAGCGCACCTGCACCTGTCTTTGTGAAGGGTGAAGGTGAAGCAACCTAGCATCACTTTAGATAGGAGCAGAATCGATGACTTACAACTGAAAGTTCTTCGGATCGATAGATATATTGTACCACGTAATGGAAATCAGATCTTGGTCTGGATCCGATGGTTCGCAGAATTCAGGACCTAACGATGGTTCTTCGGTTCGTCACATAAACGGGAGCAGACGATTCCATCCTCTCTCCCTTTTCGGGGAATGGCTGCAATCACAAGCAAGTCATTGAATGAATGGGGGGCTCCGAAAGCAGATGCGGGATAAGCAGGTGTTTCAGGAGACGGTCTAAAAAAGGGTCCGGTCTAGAAAGAAAAGAGAACTCTCAACAAGCTGGAACTAATCAAGATCAATAGGAAGTCCCGGAATTTCTTGACAAAGTGAAAGTTCATGCCACGACGATCCATATGGAAGGGTAGTTTAGTTGATGCATTCTGGTTGATAAAGTGTTTTGTCATTCTCCAACTCCGGATGAGTTTGAGGCCTACGACGCCTTTTTTTGAAGACTTTTTGTTGCGCCCCTCTCCCTATTGGTCGAGCTGCTTTGCCCCTCTCTCTATCGGTCGAGCTACTTTGACCCTATCTCTAAAGGGCGAGGGTGGCGGCCTTGATTGGGTGCCCCTATAAGATCCCCGGTAAACTCGAGCTCGGGGGGGCCTTTGCCTGAATTTCTTGAAGAGCACGAGGTCACCTCTTCATCAATAGAAATGAACGCCAGAAAAAACATTGTTCACTCCCACCAAGAAAAAATAGTGGTCAGTGATGAGAGGGCTGATTGTGGTAGTCATTGCTCACTCATTCCATTTTTGGAGGATTCGTTCCCTGTTCCTACGGCTGAGAAGCCTCAAGCTCCGCCACCCTTACTCAACCTCTATAAAAAAAAAAAAGCCCTTTACCCTTTCTCTAATAATCAGGTCAGCTCTAGAACCGGCAGAAATGCCCAATCCTATCTTTCCAGGAAGTCACTCTGGAGCGGGAGCAACTGATAGAGCAAATTCTGACTAAACTCGATCACTTGGCGAGGGGGGTGTAGGAGGTCTTTTTGAGCGCATCTTTTTCATATCGATCAAGCTGGTTTCGTTTCATTTTCCGGAAAGCTTGTCATACTATTCCACTTTAGCTAAGCTAATGATGAAAGAGGATCTGGATTTGTCTGCAGATGATGATGATGTCCACTCCTGGCTCGATGCACTTAACGAAAGGGAACTCTCACGATGAAGAAAGAATTTCCTTCATAATTAAGCAGCTTTAAGTAGGGGTGCGCTGGACTGCCGACGAATAATATGTACCCCCACCCTAGGCAGAGTTAGTGAGTCGTGTAATAGGTGACCATTTCGCGCGATTCAGGGGGCACTTGAGTCAGCAGCCAGCGCCCGACTACGTCTTGACCCCTATCCAATTTTTGGACCAATTCCCCCTTCGTACTACCAAAAAATGAGATTCTTGTCGAATCCGAGTTTGCTGCTACAACCATTACCAAACTAATACCTATTATGTTTAGTACTTCAGGTGCTTCTGTTGCGTATAATGTCAATCTCGTAGCGGATCAATTCCAACGAGCCTTTCAAACTAGTACTTTTTGTAATCGACTTTATAGCTTCTTCAATAAACGCTGGTTCTTCGATCAAGTTTTGAATGACTTTCTAGTTAGATCGTTCCTGCATTTCGGATATTCAGTCTCATTCGAAGCTTTAGACAAAGGTGCTATTGAGATATTGGGCCCCTATGGTATCTCGTACACATTTCGACGATTGGCCGAGCGAATCAGTCAACTTCAAAGTGGATTTATTGTGTGAAGAGTGCGTTATGACCCGTGGGCGCCTGCCTGATGGGGGCGGCTCCTCCGTTGTGGGTAAACGGGAAACCCGACTCTACGAACCCGAGGAAAGGCTGCACAACAGTAGTCAGGGCGTTAAGACTGGAGCTTTTTGTAGTGCTAGCAGTATAATGCAAGTGAATGAATTCCATCCCCTATCAAGTTCAGTGCTTACGCCCCTTTAGAGATAGGGAGAGGGGCGAGCAAAAGAGCTCGTTCTTCCATTTTGAGATCTTTAGATTCGTAAGATCATGATAGAGTCCCCTTTACTTGATATTAAATTCTTAAAGCTCCCGCCGCCCTACAACTAGTATAGTATTGCAGAGCTGCCAGCTTCAAAGTTGACCTGATTATTAGAGAAAGGGGCACGCTAGCCTAACGCTAGAATAATATACAATACAAGGTTAGGGGGCTGAAAAGTTGTTGTTTGCAGTCTACTTCGCGAGCCTTCACAGCCCCGTTCTATAACTTCCCTTCTTTCATTCGTCCACGAGGCTGTAAAAAGAGAGAAAGGGGTGGCTATCTAGTGGGAGTCATTTCGGCTGTATGCCATGAAGTCCCTATGGACAAGGGGACAAGTGAATCATCGCTTTTGGGCGCAGGCAGCCCTCTACCATCCATCCCATTGCATTCCATCATCTCGTATTGCTTTACTAAGCCGTATCAGACCAGATACATCTATTGAGTGAGAGAAAGGGAGAAAACTCTAAATATTCTTCATTTTGATATTGATAGGGATCCCCATTCATTCCGTCATTCCCGTCACTACAGATTGATTGTCCCTACCTAACTACATGGTTGTGGTCTAGGGAGCGCAATTGCTAGAGCAGCCAGACGGACTACTATAGTGAGTCTAGTGACTACTATAGTCGAGTTGAGTCAAAAGGTATGGTATAGAAGCCTTTCCGAGCGAGCCTCTGGGATCTCCTGTAAACCCCCATGATGTGGTAAAGGGAGGATATTAGGGGAAGCAGAGAGTGAAGATTCCCCTACAGAGAGCCGGATGAGGGGAGACCTTCACGTCCAATTCGAAGGGGGGGGATATCCTGACCCTACTATCATTATGCCTTTGCAATCTTACTTGGTTTAACTCTATTTGTGACCTTTTTTCGTATGTGGGACTCTCTATCTTCTTGGGTAGATAATCGATCGTCTTACATTTTGATAGTGAGTCATTTTTATATATAATAATAAGTCAAAAATAATAATCGAACTGGAGGAGCGAAGCTGCTCGACGAGAAGAGGAGAGGAACGAAGCAGTGAGACCAATAGAATAGGTTCAGGCAAGGAATTGCTTTACCGAGTTGACGAGGGGAAGGAGCAAAGCCAGGATGGCTTGGTAAGCAAGCAACCTGTTATATAGGCCCCAACTCCAAGTTCTTTCTTTTCTTTCTTTTTGAGTTTAGTGAGATTTCATCAAAACAATTGTCCAAGATTGCTAGATCGAGCACGCAATGCGCATAGTTTGAAGTTCAAGAGCGGGTTGTCTCCTCTTCAACATTTCTACTACTACTTACTTGCCTTCCCTTTTCAGAGATCTCCTTGTTCTCTTCCCAGATTTTCCTCCATATCTTCCCTCTTCTTTCTTTGTGGCTTCTTCATCATCTTGTTCCATCCTTCAGGTTCGGTAGGTGTCCAGGCCTCCTAAAAAATCCTTCCGACAAGAATGCTGGCTGGTTTAACATTGCAAGACATTGAACCGTCTTGCTCTTGTGAACACTAATGATCAGTAGCAAAAGTCGCCGGAATCCTCATTTTTTGTCCATAAGCTCTCCTCGTGTAAGAATTTCAAATGTCTTTTTATACACTGGCGCGGATGATTGCCCCTAAGGCACGGACCAATGCCTTCGTCTATCACCCGAATTTCTTGATTCACACGGCTTAGAGTATTTGCACTTTCGATTTCGTGACTCGACCTGTAGACGGTGATACCGCCACCTTCGGAGACGTGATCCTCTCTTATTCACTTGTGCCGGTTCTCATGGAAATCTTGGAGGTCGGCCCCTGTGTTCTGGCTTTGGGGGGGATGCTCGGCTAAGAATATCGACCCAACTTGCTTACCAAGCGAAAGGAATACGTCCTTCAATAAGCAAAAAGAGGGACCCTTGAGCATATTCTTATAGATTCGTTAGAATGATTGGCTCCGTTTTCGGATCCAGGAGTTTCAGTATAGTAGGCGAGTACAATGGGAATCAATCCGGTTCTTTTATGGCAGTCCATCTATTTGACTCAGAAACCGCTAGTCAACTCGTAAGCATAGCTAGGGGAGTCTCTTTTCGGAAGATGAAATCATTAACGGGGAAACCCCGACAAAAGGGCTGTAGGAAATATTCCCATAAATCGATTAACATTTTCAGATATATATGGCATACGTTATTCTCGGATCTCAGAGACAGATAGAGTTAGTCTTGTTACCCTCACCGGATCAGTTCGGGCTGGCGCACGACGCCCTCAGAGAAAGAATCTTTCCAGAGATTTGAAAACTAACAAAGAAGAACTAAAGCCCTGTTCATGGATCAAGATGCAAAAACAGAATGCAAAATAGAATTAGCGGTCAACCAAGCGTATAGACCTCTTTTGATCCAGCAAAAGTGGATAGGACTAAAAAATAGCAGCTAATCTCCAAGCTGGAACTCCTTTTTGAGTTTTCCAAGATCGGCTTGGCCTAAAGTCAAGCCCCTTTTCTCCATTCCACAAAAAAGCAGAGAAGTTCTATACGCTAATACACAAAAAAATCATACCTACCACACACAGAAGAAAGCATCAGAGATGGTGATCCACCAAGAAAGCACATTGACTCGATCACACACACCTTTTTCTGAGTACCTTTCTCCGATTTGCACAATAAGGAATTTGTCCAGGGCTGCTGTTTATACAGTTTCAAGCTCAGGGAACAAAAAGAAAGAAAACTCAGTCCTTGCTCTTGCTGCGGGTGAGGATGAGGAATTTTTCATTCTCAAGGAAATAAAAAGGAGTGAACCTTAATCTAAAGCCGACTAGAGGAATAGACCAATTGAAGAATTAACTTGGAAAGAGAAATCGCTCACTGGAGCAATAACAAAATTCCTTACTTCAGGAATGGACAAGAACTCAAGCAAAAGAAGCAACTGGACCTGATACGACTTTGACCGCTCTTAGGACCGAATCGAATGGAAGACTAGGGGACTCAGTCAAAGACTACTTCCTCTACTTCTCGGTAGGATTCAGTATAGGGGAAAGGAGGGGGAGTTATGCTTACAAGAGAAAGCTGGCCCGAAACAAAAGAAAAGGAACTTAGCCGACATCGACCACTCTTAGGAAACTAGGCTGGACGGACTGCGGGGCTACTCAATCAAACAACCAGACTGCCTATCCAGACCAGATTACCATACTCACTAAGAGACTTGCTTGCTTCCAAGACTCCACAATAGGACGAGAGGGAAATACCCCTTCTTCAAGGTTAAGCTACCTTACCTTAGTCAACTAAGCAAGTGAGACGGGTAGACCACCCGGAAGGAAAGTTGTTTGTTGTTCAGTTTTGGTATGCGGTATTGCCCAAGTCTTTGATTACTTGACTGGACGTACCTACCCTCGTAATTGATAGATAGAAACCTATGAGAAAAGAAAACCCTGTTCTATTTAGTTTTCTTACTAGTTCTAAAAGTGATCGTAAAGTTCCCCGCTATCGAGTGTGATAAAGCCAAGTTTTCAAGCAGCCAAGAGCAAGTTTGATTGGATGTGCCAATAGGGCTTCCTAACGTTCTATAATCAACTTAAGTTATCACGAAAAGAAAGGCTAAAGGAAGATAAAAAAAAAGCCTATTCTATACCAGCTTCTTCTATAGATGAGATAATTAGAGCAGATTCAATAGCAAGGGATATTCACCCAACAGCTCAAGCAGCAGATTCTATTATGGGCATGAATGTGCAACCTAAAGACTCGCAAGTTTTTTTCCTCTACTTCCCACCCTCTAACTCTAAAGCGTTAGTATATATAAAGTGTGTTTGTGGCCTTAGCTGCAAGTACCTTCTACTCCTTGGCATTCACGGATTGGTTATGTAGCAATCCTTCTTGTAAGGATCTGAAGTTTGGTTTTGATTGCCAGTGACGTACGACCTTCTGTGCGATAGTATGGAAGATTTTGGATTAGAGTGAAGGTATCGAGCTGTTTTTGATGGAGACTTTTTCTCCCTCATGATTCTAATCGGAAGATTGCTAACGATGTTTAAATTGTTGTCTCTGCTTTCTATTCGAAGAAAATTGAGCCAAGTATGAAGGTAAGCAAGTTTCTTGCTTGGGAATTGACTTTCGGTTAAAATTCAATACTGATATGGTGCTTCCAAGAGGAACCAAGACTTTCATGGTGCTGCCACGGGACATTCTGGTAAGTCGGGTGCTGGTGGCCTTCTCCGAGACTGTTCAGGAACATAGATTAGTGGGTATACCTGCAAAATGGCTTTCTCTACGAGCCTACAAGCTTAGCTTCAGTTTAGCTTCCAACTAAGGCTCAGGGAGTTCTTTCCCCGGGATTGAGTGAACGATCTCATAGCCCTCCACCGGTAGCCCACAAAAGCGCTTATTTATATAAAATGTGTACGATACCCCTTTCAAGCTCAAGCTTCTTGGGCTAACTTCTCAGGCAGAGTTCTTTCGCACGTAAATCTATATATCCTCCTTCTGTCTGTTCATCAAAATCAATATCTGTCCGATTGCGCTGTGGATTCAAAAAAGATTGAAAAAGACACTTTCTTTTTAAAGAAGTAAAGCCAAAACACGGTGTCGAAGCAAGGGAAAGTGAAATCCAAAAACACAGGAGACATGGTAGGCGATTGGTAAGCCAATGTTCTGACTTTTCTAGTTCTAGACACTGAGAATGGCAGACCTGCGACCAGTAAAGCCGCTGGAGAAGTGTTTGAGGCAGAAGGTATCCATTGATGCACCTTTAGTTTAGCATCTACTTTTTTGCTTTGACGGCTCAACACGAAGATGCTTATGAGACGCTACTCGAAAAACATTAGCTACAGGCGGCCAGAGTTGGGAAGGATTAGGCGGCAAGCACACAGTCGAGAAAGTAGATCCGGCCAGGGTTACTCTACACTTGCAAGATGGATCGAAGGAGGAAGCCAAGACGCCAAGTTCAGATTCCAGTGGAGATTCAGACCATCAGACACCGATTCTGAGGATGAAGGACACAATACAAGAGAGAGATGGAGTCGTCTGGTTGCAACACGACTTGGGAAACGTTTTTTGATGAACAGCTCTACAGGTGTACGAGAAAGACTATATAAACACTATGAAGCGCTGTAAGAACACTGAAGGAAGGTCATCGATAGTTGACGACAGTGGACCTGGGGAGGAGCACTTTACTTTAAGGCGTGCCCCAGCATTACCAGCATATAGTCTTTATCAAAGAAATTCTTAGAGCCGGCGTATGAGGCGCAAAAGGACAGATGGCATTACCAAGAACCAGAGATGGTGCAACTGAACCTCGGCACCGCTTTGTATATTCAGTCTTGCGGTGTAGTCCTTCAGAGGTATTCTTAGTGAAAGGACAATTAACCTCCCTTTACCTTTTCCGGCCTCACTTAACCACTATGGAATTCCTAGGTGTATTCCTTCTTTTCATCGTAATAAGTAGGAGGGGCGAAAGGATCAACTGGTTCACTTTTCTCTTTTTTATCTTTTTTTCGTTAATAAAGAAAGTGGATTCTTCTTAGTCTTAGAAAGAAAGGTACGATTCTATCGTTCAGAGGTCGTCCTCTGTCCCTGAAGATCTATTTAACGATCTCATACAGGTATGTCTAGATTTGGTTGAAAGGTATGTCCCCTGGGCTCTTAAGATTCCTTATGAATCTTGGACTGGACTTCGGTGTCTACCGAAATGGTCATCGTCACCTGTTAAGGATTCAACATTTGACGTATCGGGAGCTAAGAAAACTCCCTTCCACCTGGAGCTCTTCGAAGTCTCCCTATAGGATAAGGCTTCTTTGTTTGGTGCTGATGGTAACAGCCCGAGCCCGAGTAAGAACTCTAGACTATGACCATTTTCAGCCGAATGCAAAAAGTGGGCCTCTCAATACATTCTTTGTTTTGTTATCTTGCTTTTCCTAGGGGGGTGTTCCCTTTCTCCATTATGACGTACTAGGTTAGGTTTCCATCTAGGTCTCGATTGGGGGTGACTTCAAAATTCTGGTAACATTCTTCCCTTCCCTTGATTCATGATCCTTGCTGCTGAATTAATCCCCCATGTGTCGGGACCTGAACCGTGGTGGTGCTCTTCTACAGCTTCTTCAATTACATAGTACATAGATAACAGCTCCTCTCCCTTTGGTCTCATTGCTTCGCTCCTCTCCTTCTTTGTTGAAAACAACTCAAACACTCTGTCTTCGTCTTCTCTCCTTTACAATTCTAAATCTTAAGAAAACGAGAAAGACTCAACCAAAAACCTGAACCTCGGCTTCTTACGTCTCCCTTCTTTCACGAGGTCAAAGTAGCTCTTTTCTTTCCTCTCGCTTCTTTCACTCGGTAAATTGGATAGTAGTCTTTCTCCTTCAAAATCAAGTGTTTCAAGGAAAGACTCAACTCTCGATGAACTATCCTTATCCTTATCCTCTCCAACTAGGCTTCAATTACAAGTTGGTGTGCTTTTATCTCCGTAACCTTTGACTCTATTCCCTGACCTCACCTTATACTCTATTACCTTCCCTTATTTCACTCGGGTTTCACTATCTCATTTCTTTTTTAGGCTTTAGTCTGTTCTTTTTCTTCTTCTTCTTTTTTGGAAGGAAAGATATATGCTATACACATTCAAATCTAATGGACTTCTTGAACTGTAAACAAGGTCTCTTTTCTTTCCTGTCCCTAGAGTTTACAGTTGAGCATATGAAAGACTAATTGAACAAGGTAAAGCATATTCAATCCTGTCCCTGATTTCACCTATTCTATTGGTCTCTTTTCTTTCTTTTCTTTCTCTTGATCTGATCTGAATTGAGTTTTTCTTTGATTTTCTTCTGCTTTTATGATTCTATTTTGCATTCGGTTTTTGCATCGAGGAGATTCCTCACGTAACAAGGTAATAGCCAATTTTCTCTTAGATTGGACCATTGTTCCTCCTTTTCTATATGACCTATATGTAGGTGGGAAGTACACACCGAATCTTGCATTAAACCAATGTTTATCGAAGTTAACGTGTACGTGAATGCTCGCTTCCTTACTTCAGTCCGAGGATCCTCGATATGTTGATCCCCTATCAGCTCATGATATTCTTTCAGTATGTTCTTGGTCAGAGTGACATATATCCTCCGGGCAACGAAGTTAGGGCAATCGAGTTGGGTTTCTTTACGCATTGCAGCTTTGTTGGGATCTTGGACGGCGGTCGGGTCCACTTCGAGAATGGCTTGGGGTACCAGTGCCCAAAAAGAAAAAGCACCTACTACAAGGGACATGGTGAGCATAAGATCGAGGGAGCTCTTATAAGGCCAGTGAATAAGGTTCGAAACCCAATATGAAAACATATCCGCTAAACATCAGGTATTTCTCAAAAGATCCTTCTAGCTCGCGCTGCACTAGGTAGACCAGCCAGAATACTGACCGATTTGAATGGGCCGCTTTGGCTGACCCGAGGTTAAGAAATCCATAGGCCAAGGTTGTATATGTTTCCACTCTCTCCTCAAGGAAGATTTTTTAGACCAACTCGTTCATGATCGAATAAGAGAGTTGTCATCCTTTTGAATTTCCCACGTTCTAGTGGACCTGCTTTAAATACATTTAAAGTTGTTGTACATTCTTTGCTTACAACAGAAGAAGAGGAAACCCACTCTTCTCTTCTTTCTTCTTTTTTAGAACCAAGTCCTTGAAGACATAATAACAATTATGTTATGAAACTAGTTCGTTAAGAATTTTGTTGATCTCGTTAGATACATTGTTGAGCCCAACCAAAAAAGATGGGGTTCGGTATAGCCACAGTTCGGTTCCCAGGGTTAGAGTATTCTCTATTATCAGCCTACTCAAATCAGAACTCAATTAGTAGATTCTCTTTCGCTTATCGGCCGACCGGCTTTCATTGTTGCAACCTTCGCATTTCCTGCTGAGATCCCAAGTCGAGTAAGGGGAATTCTCTCTAAACAAAGAGTTTTGTATCGAAGAGAAGAAATCCCCAAGAAGCGTAGAGGAAAGAGTTTCGCGGGAATTGTCTTGAGGCCAGCCCGTGACGTGAGTGATCGTTGACCCTACCCCTTTCTACATCATGAGAATAAATCCTACTAAAATCTACAAATCTGATTTTTGTCTTTCATAGATTTTTTCACGGCTCTGCCCTTTCTCTCGCCAATGGAAATGGAATTGGAGTGGACAGAGTTGACTCTCTGAACACGGAAAGGTGTCCTTCTATCAAGCAAGTGTGAAGAAAGCATTGGAATTCGATTTTGGGCACGCTCTCTAGAAGATTTGCTCGTGCTAAGTTACGATCCAACAAAGAAGAAAAAAAGAAGGGGAAAAATGGTGGGCCAATTCTCCCTAGCGGGGGTGGACAGTTGTCACTCTATTTTTTTCCAAACAGAATTCCAGGCCGGCCCCAGGAAGAAGAGATTGGGACTGGGCGATTAGACAACTCCTAGTGCCATCTTCAAGTAGAGTCTATTCTTTCTTGTTCTTTTCAAAAGGCACTAACTCAATCGAAACTTATTGAAAAAAGTCTGTGGCAAGAAGGAGCTTTTGGACCCAAGAGCCGAACGAGAATGAATACCACACATCAGAGTCAAGACCAGGATCGGATGAGGTTTTTGAACAGAAAGTGTGCAGTGAAAAAAAGCATTTTGGGAAAGTAGTTTTGACTCGAATCTTGGACAAATGAACGATTACAAGATTGTGCGACTTGTTTCTTCCTTTCTTCAGCAAGATCTGGTGGTTTGAAGATTGATTCAAAGAAAAAGGCTGATAATCAAGGAAAACAAAAGTAATCAAAGTATAGCCGGTCGAGTACCACATAAGGATAAAAAAGGCATCCTCTCAAAGCGAACAATCCAACGACTTCCCCCCTACCTATTTTTTTACTTTTTCCGGCCCTTTGGCTAGTCCGGTTTCTTTGATTGGCATTTTGCCTTCGGCTTTTGAAAATGATCCCTTCACCAGAGGGGAGTCATCCTACACACGTAAACCAAGGATCGATTGATTAAATGCACTCAAAAAACCATTTGACACTTAAGCGAGTGGTTAGTTGGCCCCTTTCAAGAGAGTTTGAAACCAGGTAAGAAAGGAAAGGATCGGGTACAATCTGACGATCATCCTCGTTTTGTCTTTTCCCATAGGCTAAATCAAGCGAAGGTCTGAACATTTCTTATTTAGCCTTTAAAAAAAGTCACTTTGACTGACGTAAACTCACACCATCGTCAGAAGAGAGAGCTTCGATCTCTTTCCGGCATCCCAGAGGAAATCATCTGAGAAACCTGGGCTAGACAAAACAAAGGGACTCCGAGGGCTACCTAATGACAGAGTAACTCACTCCTCTTAATTGGAAAGCGATTTCGTCTACATACTAGGCTAAAAACGCACACTGAAAGCAAAGTAGACTACGAATCTCAGTCTTCCATGTTAGGGGGTGAAAGCAAGATCCGAAAGGAAAGAGCTCTGTACTCGAGGGTGAGAAACCCATGAAATAGGTTGTCCCTAAAGCATCAGTGAAATAAGGAAGGAAGTAGAGTCAAAAGATCATATGCAAGAGCTCCTCGGAATAGTGCCCTCAGGCTTTCTTCGGAATAATCTCGATCATCAGTTGCAACTGTCTTTGTACATCTAAAAAATACTGAATCCTTATTTGATTTACTCCTATTTTTGGCCTGGCTTTGACGGTTCAGCGAAAATCGTTGGACTCATATGGGTCCGCTATCCTACAGTTTTCAAATAGGGTACAAGAACTTCAGCTTCAAGCACTTTTCGGCCAAATTTCTAACTGAAGCAAATCGGTATATCTGATAGCCTGAGATACATTCGTTAAGCAATTGTTGGGCTTTATGCCAAAAACGAGAAAGTACCTCAATTCAGTGGAGTAGGTTCCGTTGGGCATTCATTCTGGGAAGAAAGATAGACTGAGCTACAACTTTCTATGCTATGGGCATGCTGCTTTTCATCTTACCTAAAAGTCCCAAGAAATAGTTGAACGAAGACCCGCATTATTCATTGGGTTCTGGTTGATTCACCAAGAAAAGTCAAGACAATGTAATAAGAAAGAAAAACGGAATGATTGATTACTCAAAATGAAGAACAACAAAAAGGTACCACAAAGAAAGTGCAAAAAGATGTTGAAGGAGAATCGGAGAGTACATATAGGAAAGAATCTTCAGACCTTTATTCCCTCTTTTGGATGGCCACTATCTTAGACTAGTTTACCCTAGCTAAATAGTAGTCATGTCCACAACTGACAGCTTTCGTTGGCCTGCAGGAAATCGTTTATGAACTTCAATACGCTTAGATCCCGGGCGAGCCATAAAAGAGAGGCTTTCTCATTTAGCTACATTAGTGCTACTAAGTATATATAGTTGGCATTAGCATTTTCTTTCGGAGGGAATAAGGTATTGGGACAGAGAGGGAATAGTTTCTTCTCGTCGACTCAGAGTTCCAAGACTCCCTCCCCCTTAAATGGCAAACGGTAAAGAAAGGTAACGTGCAGACTTGATAATATATACAAATAGAATCGAGGCGGGCTTAGCTATTCTAACCGGGCATTGAAATAATGGGAGAAAGAAACGAATGGAATGACTTCCATCGTCTTTCTATGTACTGGAATGACAACCATTTTCATGGTCACACAGGATCCCCCACCCTTCTATCCTTTTTAAGACGTAGTCTGATTATTGAGACTCTGGCTTGGCTCTCCCTCATTCGACCGACCTACCTTTCTGATCCTCTAGTTGGTTGCTCGCTTTCGCAGTAAAAGCTTGCGCTCATACTTCAATCTTATCCGGTCTTCTGTTATCGATCTTCTTGGAATAGCTTTTCCTACTTTCTCGAGTCTGGATACCCACATTCTCATTATGGGTTTCCTTCGCCACCCTTCCTTGCTCGAGCCTTCGACCCTCTTTTTCTGGATCTTGGTGGTTGAATGTTATAGTTAGCGTGCTAGCCAGGTTGACCCTCTACTCGAAGGAAACTATCCCTTTTCTTTGTATACTTAACTACGACCCTTTGTTCTACCCAGTGGGGTACATAGACAACCCTCGAGCTCAACGGTTAGGTTTGACTCTGGTCTCATCGGACACCCAATGAAAGGTTGACAATCAATTACCAAGCAGGCATATATATGAGATGAAGCACACCCGAAGACAAGGCTGTCTCGACTCTCGTTAAGTCATAGTTGGGTAAACTCGAAACATAGTATGGAGGGATTAAGACGACTCTCTGTAAGAGACTTTGTCGAGGCTTTATGCAACAACCCCTCAACTATACCTACCTTTCATAATACGTATAGCATTACATCTGTGCACTCATTCTCTTTTTTGAGCTTTCCTCTCCACCTAGACTTTCTTGGTCCTGGGGCTTGCGTTCCTTACTTCAGTCTGTCTTTCAGTATACTGGATATCTTCTTCTTAATGGCTGCCATCTTCCTTGTTGCCGTCCTTTGGCTTGGCTTATCAACTTTCAACGCCATCCTGTTTTTCTTTCTACCTTGTTCTTTGGATGCTTTCCCCAGGGTCTTAGCTACTCGCTTTCGAAGGATCTTCCGCCGCCTTCTGAGTTCTGGCCATAGACTTTGTCTTAAGGGCTGGGTTGTTGTTGCTTCCCTTGTAGGTAGTCCTTGTTGGAGAGTCATAGCTTATCTCAATTGAGAGTCCTGAGCTGCGTCTTATCTAGACCGCTGACAGCCTTAGCTAGAGCCACTGTATGTAAGATTGGGGTCAAATGTGTCCTGCCTTGAACGAAGATGAACAGAGACTCCTTGGGACGTCAAGTTCGGATCTTGGCCTTTCCTATTCGCCAACAACCTGCGCGGTTGGAACCCAATCGTTGTGCGGATCTAGGCATCCTGGAATGACAGCACTTCGAATTGTCTCGAAATTGGCTGAAAGAAGAAGTGAAATTAGGTAGGCTCGACCTACTGGTAAGCTCTATCATTGGCTTTCACTGGTCCTTTGCTAGATGCCAATGTCGCATTGCCAACAACCCTTGCTTTGCCCCTTGTTCGTAAGGCTTATTACCTTTCTCACTTTCATCGGTACATATAGTAAATGGATGGGGCTATTCATTCTGTACGGTATTGGCGTTGTGCAACACTAGTCCTGTCATCCGCCTAATTAGTGGGGAGACATTGATGTACGCAGTCAGCCATGAATAGGGTAAAGGATCACCAGAGATACCTTCAAAAGTGACCAACCGGTAAGTTGCTGTCGTTTCCAGCTCTGCGGCTAACGAATGTGGGAATGAGTTCGCTCCTATTGGGGAGATTTGTATTTCCCACCCTATCTCTAAAAGGCAGATCCATTTTAATCCCCTTTATTTCCTCCTACTCATCAGAAATCACTGTTATGGGTGTCATAAGGCGACGCCCGGTGTCTCGTCACTTTGACCCCCTGTTACCCTCTCTCGTTCTTCATGGCCTAAAAAGAAAGAAAGAAAGAAAGAAAGAAAGAAAGAAAGAAAGAAAGAGAATAGAATATCTATATCAAGAAATGGAAGAGAAGGAATATCAAGCCCAATGTTGGGATTTTAGGCTTATATGTAGGACATTGACTACTACGATCAGGATCTTGAGTCCTTTCCTCTCCTTGACTTGTATTAGTAGAGCGTTCTTCATCTAAAGGCTCTGAATATCATGGACTTGTTTAAGTCAAACTCTGATTGTTGTGGGAGAAAGTTCTGGTAAGCTCGTCTCAGGTACTGGCGTAAGTCATAAAATAACTCCTACCCTTGCTAAAGCTTGATATTTAAGGCTTTTCACTCCGATTATCCTTATTCAAGCGGTATCACAGAGAATCTTTCCTTTCGTCCTTCTGGCAAGGGTTTGAAGTGAAAAGGGAGGGGCTTGGTAGCTAGGAAAGTCAAGTCAGGGAGGAAGGCGCTGTACTATTGAGCAAGTAGCGGTTGTAGTCTCGTCTTTCTTGTAGCTTTGGGGATTTTGCTACTGACGGATTCAAAAGAAGGCTGAAAGCTCAAGTGCAAGTTGAGTAAACTTTTTCCATTTTACTGCAAGTCTAAAGATAAAGAAAGGGAGGGGAAAAGTCCACTCGCTATTAGCTCGCAACAATCTCTCCACTCGCATAGTAAACAGCGCTCGCCCTAGTCAAATCTGGATCTTGTTACCGGAAGAACGAATACCGAGACTCCTTTCTTTTACGCCTTATTAGTTATTCAAGCGGATCAGTTTGTTTGTAATTCAAAGGAAAGAGAAGAAGGCTGTAGATCAAGAGTCTTTCCGGGCAATGAAAGCGGTAGGGCAAGTGAAACGAGATTTGTCAGGCTTAAGGTAAAGGGCATGAGAGAAAGAAAGCTCTTGTTTCCGCGCTCAACTATGGGAATAAGGGGAATAAGAGCTGGCGGTAAGTGAAGAAATTCCTTCTAGTAGTGGATGCTGGTGAATCAGAGTCAAATCTCTCTTTTCTTTCAGAAGCGAAGTCGTAACTTATACCGTTAGAAAGGCGCTACAGCCCTTATGGTTATGGATAAGGAGAAATAAATAGAACCGTTCATTCTTTGCGGTTACGGTAAGCAAGTCGATTAGTACACAACACTCTCTCCTTTATAAAAGGCGAATAATTCACTTTACTGACGAGCGTGAGAGCGATGCACTTTGTCTTTTGGTTTTGAACTTCTAAGAGCTTTTCAGTCAGAACTCAAAGCTAGTGCGTTAAGCAAGCTTCTTTGTTGTAAGGCTATCGGATTAGAGAATTCCCTCTTGCTCGCCCTACTTCTTAGTAGAGATACTAAAGGGAAAGCAAGTGCTGTGATGAGATCTGTCTTTTGGCTTGAGAGGCAATGGAATTGTGAGACACAATAACCTTTTGTTTACATACAGTTCAATCTGGTGAAAGAAAGAAAAGAAAAGAGACCCTAAAGGATAGGAAAAGGTGAAGGGAGAGGAAAAGAAAGAAGAAAGAAAAACGAACAATCAAAGATTCGAATCCGAGTCTTTACAGTCTTTGAATAAATAGGAAAAGGAGCGAAAGAAGTATTGAATATGCGAGTGAAGGAGAATGAATCGGAAAGTGGTGAAGCAGCTCTCTCGAGTTTCCCTCCTTAAATAAGGCAAGGGAATAGAGGTGAAGGGGAAGGAGTTTACAGTGAAAGAATAAATAGGGACAAGTGAATGCATTGAGTTCCGGAGTTCAGTCTCTTTCCTTATTAATTACCTCGGGAAAGAAGGATTGAAGCAGAGAAGCCAGCCTATTTACCGAGTTCGTTCAGTAGCGAAGGGAATAGAGGTGAACAATCACTTCCTGAGAATAACTCACAAGAACTACACACTGTTACGTATAGTAATCTGACCATCAAAAATCTTTCCTTCCTTAATGAAAGAGCTACTGAACCTATTTACCTCGTGAAAGAATAAATAGGAAAAGGAGTGAAGGAGAATTCATCTTTCTTTCTTACATGAGAGAGAGTAAAAGAGTGAAATCAGTCGAATGAATAAGGAGTATTGATCTTTGACAGTGAAGGGAGAGTACTAGAGTGAAATCAAGGATCAGATCAAGAATGAATCTTGAGTCTTGACTTCGTTGAGTCTTAGTTTACAGTTCAAGAAAGGGAGAGGTTCAGGGGAAGGAGAAGAGAAAGAATGAATCTTGAGTCTTTCCTTCCTTAATGAAAGAACTGCACGCTGTGAGTATATCTATATTCCCATCAAAAAGCTTTCCTTCCTTAATTCAATGAGCGGAACACTTGATATCTGCTGTCTCAATCAAAGACAGTTCCATTCTTCTATCTTAGACGATCTGTGGTTACTCGACTGTCTGGTGCCGCAGGGCACTATTGGAGAGTTCATTGAGGCCCTCCGCTTTCTCAATAGAAAATGGAAGCTGTAAAGATGAGCTGCTATGATTATCTATGTCACTTTGCTCGAAGAGAAGAGAAAGAGAAGTAGCGAAGCCACTTTACCGTTCAAGAAGGAAAAGGTTTGAGGTTCAGTCTTTCCTTCCTTAATGAGCGGAAGACTTTCTATCTGCAATCTCAATCAAAGACAGTTTCATTCTATCTTAGACGATCTGAGGTTACTCGATTGTCCGGCCTCGTAGGGCACTATTGGAGAGTTCATTGAGCCCGCCGCTTTCTCAATATCAAATGGAAGCTGTCAAGATGAGCTGCTATGATTATACATAATATTTTAGTTTCTTCTTTAAATCAGAGAAGATCAGATGAGAGTAAGGTAAACTTAGAGTTTCTAACTAGGTTCAAGTTCATTCTTGTTGAGTCTTGACTTGATGAATAAGGGAGAGGTTCAGAAGTGAAGCCGAGGTTCAGGAAAGAGCTACTTACTTTAACCTCCATAAATAAGGGAAGGGAATACTCAGGGGCAGGAGAGAAGCCAGCCACTTTACATTGAAAGAATAAATAGGCTCACAGTAGTTAAGGATAATTAATTAAGCTTGTCCGAGTCTGATTCTTCAATCAATTCATTCTCTTTCCGTAAAGGTTCCGGTTCATGAGCTTCTCTTTCTTTCCTTCCTGCCTGCCAGTTCCTTCTTCTTTAACTCAAAAATGACACTTTATAGTTGTAAAGCATCAACTCTAATTAATTGAAGCTGCTTTTGTTAGTGAAAAAGCTCTTATGAAACTTTACAGTTATATGGAGCATCGAAAGAATGAATTGAAGCAGCAGCTGTTAGTTAAAAAGCTCTTAGAAACTTTACAGTTATATGTAGCATCAAAAGAATGAATTTCCTATGCAACTGTTAGTGAAAAAGCTCTGACAAAACTTGACAGTTATATGGAGCATCAAAAGAATTAATTTCCTATGCAACTGTTAGTGAAAAAGCTCTTACGAAACTTTACAGTTATATGGAGCATCAACTAAATAAGAAATGGTCTTTACACGAGTTCAATCAGTCCAATGAATAAGGAGTTGAGGATTGACTTCCCTTCCGGTTCAGTAGCTCAGGGAATAGAGGTTCAGTCTTTCAATGAAACACTTTCTCATCCAGCCTATGTAAAAGAGTGAAATCAGGGACAAGTTCAGGAGTTTCCCTTGTTCAATGACCTAAAAAATAGGGAATATCGTCAAAGGGTTTCGCTTTCGTCTTTGTTTACTGTGTTTGAATAACTGACAATAATAATAACTGATGGTAATACTGGTGAAGGGGCAGGTTCAGGTTCATGAGCAAATCTTTCTTTCATTTTCAGAGTCTTGAAAAGAGACCGAGTGAAAAAGGGAGCAAAGCTTCGAGTCTTTACTTGATGAATAAGCAGAAAGATCAGAGAAAGAGAAGGAGTGAAGCAAGCTGTGAGACCTATAGGTAATCTCAGCCTATTTATTTACCGAGTGAAAGATAAGAGAGTGCTTACCTCCTTCAATCAGTCCAATGGAGCAGAAAGAAAGAAAGACCTATTTACCGAGAAAAAGATAAGAGAGTGCTTTACCTCCTGAAATAAGGGAAGGGAAGGTAATATCAAGAAGAAAATGAAAGATCAGAGAAGAAAGAGACCGATAGCTGATCACTTGAATCAGTTGAAGGAGCGAAGCTGCGAGACTGATAGTTGGAGAGGGAGAGGAGTACCGTTTATTTATAAATAGAGAGCAATCATAGTACGAAAGAGACAAGCGAGATTTTGACTAACTTCTGTTAAACCAAGATGATATTCTTGACCTTTGCTTTCATTAGCTTTCTTCCTGGGACAATCAGTTTAGCCATTCCTATCTCAAGTCCGATAGGATTCTGTCTCTTCAAACAAAGGAAGAAACTCTGATTTATGATCCAACTCACTCCCCCTTCCAAATTTTCTTGAGCCCTAGCACCTCCCTTATTGCCAAAATCTCCCTATAATACTGAGGTTATATCAACCACTCACCTCCTATCCTACTCCTCCACCCTCACCTAAAATCTGCCAAAGTCAGCCTTAGCCATGGAATCCAAAAGCTTGTGAGGTACCTTCCTTAGGTTGTTCTTTTACCTCTCTTTCCCATCAAGCATCTTCAAGGAATCTAGCTCAAGACCCTCTGGCGGATCAAGACGACTGACTGACCAAAGGGGGCTAAAGTATGGATCACTCGCCGATCTGTGATCAAAGAAAACTATACCTGAAGAATGGGATACAGATTGACCAGCACAAAAGCCATCTCTATCAATCTACGCTCATTGATGAGAAAGCGACATAGAAAAGAAAGTCTACCGATTGTCACCCCCCTTTTTTTCACTGAAAAGTCAAACAAAAAGAGAAAAAACCTTGGGAAGTTTAATAGGGTTGGATCGAGGATGGAATCGAATAGCGAATGCACTTGCGGTTAAGACAGGTCCTGCATCTCCTACCTAATGCAATTGACCGACCCGGCATCTCTTTCGTTCAATAATGCCTTCGCTTCCAGACGGTATTTACCAATAAGAATAGGAAAAAGACACTACTTGAATTGAAGAAGCTCAACCTTGAAAAAGAAAGGTGGTAGGCCGACGTTGAACGCTGAAACTTGGCCACTGAAGAAGGCGAAGACTGGGCAAAGAGTAGGCCCACTTACTGCTTACTGCCATGCTATGGTTTAAGCTTTAGGCTCCATAGACGGAACTTTTTTTTAGGTATTAGGGAGGGGGGGACACTACTCAGCACCTAAGGTGGGGTTCAATGCCTAACAAAAAGGGCCAAAAGAGATGTGGAAAGAAAGAACACATACATAGAGATTTTGTCTGTAGGAGGTTTGAGAATCTATGAAAGGACATCTAAGGCTAAGTAAGGAAGAATGAAAGGAAGTCCATTACTGAGAAAAGTGGTGATCTCGTCTTGCTTGCTGGGAGAGAGGAAGCTTCCAGACCACCTTTTCCAGCCATATAGCGAGTGATCACTCAGCAATTCACACTAAGAGAAAGCGGCCGGGAATGAGTACCTATCCCTTATGGGAATCGAACCCATGTCTTTGACATGAAAAGACAATGTCCTAACCACTGGACGAAAGGGACCAAAAAGCCATTCTTCATATACCTAAGCTCCGAGAATAGAAGTGGTTCATTTTCTTTCTATACATACATATGCAATTCGACGATTTCATTTGTGTTTATGTTGGCAATTTCGGATGTGAATTCGGCGGGTCGTCCCGCCCTTCCTACGGGTTCCCCCTCCAACCCAGTGACACACCAACCACGCCCCTTCCTTTTCTCCGATCATCAAGCCCACTTCTCCCTTTCTTTGTCTTTCATCTTTCTTGCTGTTCATCCTATACAAATAGTTAAGTGAGGCCCCGTTCTTTCTAATTCAACAAAGAAAAGAGGGGCCGTTTGAAATGGCGAAGGCCTATGCTAAAGTCAGAAAGAAAGACAGTTAAGATTACTCAGGTCAGCTGCTTAAGGAAAGAAAGCTCAAGTTATGAAATCGCTTAGCCGTTAATTAATTAATAATAGGTAGGTAGTGAGGCGTCGGTACGGAGTTGCGTCAGCTGTAGATATAGACTAGGCTAAGGGACAGACTGAATCTCTTCTTCTATTCTCTTTCTTGACTTACACCTTACACTTCCGCTGAGTCTAACGAGGCTCAGGTGCGGAGCCTTCCACTGTGGACCGAGACTAGGCAAAGGTAGAACACCAAACTTCGCTGACTTTCTCATAAACCTTGATTTCGTTACGCTCAATAAGAACCCGGAATAGCGTAAATAGTTTTGTGTTCCGCTTCCAAAGTCAGTCGTCTTTGCCCAAGTGTGAACTGCGGATGACTCTCCTGTGGTTCCATTCCTTCTTACTTGACTTCTGAGTCAACCAAACCCGAATGGGAAGAAGAGGGTCAGCCAAACAGGGGTCCACTTTGTACATTTGCTGAGGCAGACCCTTTGTATAGGGCATTTTCTAACAGGGAAGGGAACAACTCACCGATGGAGGCTGGCAGTAGGAATGAAGGAGGCGGGAAGCTACCGCTTCTAGAATGCAAGCAACTCCTTTCCTTTTTTTCGAGCGTACCCCGTGAAATAAGAGAAAAAGGTTGATGGATGAAGTAATGGGAGTGACAAATGATTACGGTTGCGGAAACTGGAGAAAGTTGGGAACCGTCTGTGACTTTTTGAATCAAAGTAGGGACGAGTCGAGTACTACGACTACAGGGGGGGAAGCTTTGCTTCTACGACAGCTTTCTTCCTCCTCGCTTCTTTTCTTTCTGGCGACTAGCTTCTCAAGTAGGTGGCTTGGTAAGCAAGCTACCTTCAACATCGGTCAAATCCCTATCAATAATAGGCTGGAAGGAATGGTGGGGAAGGATGCCCTAACGAGACTCTTAGTCAAGCCTTAGCCTATCTCTTGATATAGTCAAGGGCCTTTTCTTCAAATATCCCATCAAAAAGGGGCTGAAAAGCTTTGAGTTTAGGGGTGCGCAGGTTTGAAGCCCTATACAAGAGGCTAGCGCGCAATGGCTTTCAATGATAGGGGCTCGCTTCTTCCCACTTGCTGCTTTTCATTTTTTGATCGGAGTAGGTACTTGCTGCTCGTCAAAGCCGTAGCTTTGAATCTTAAGTGAAGTTCAGTCAAATCAATGAAGTTCATAGCCTAACCTCTTTGTTTGAAGCTTTGCCAGGAAGCAGCCGACTTGTTGAAGCTTTGCTTCCCCTAATTCCAAAACACAACAATAGACTTGCAACTCTTGTATAGGAAAAAGCTTCTCTTTAATAGCGGTCATAAGGTAAGGATCTGATCGTATCTCGAGACTGAAACCTGTGCCGGGGTAGGGGCGGATGTAGCCAAGTGGATCAAGGTAGTGGATTGTGAATCCACCACGCGCGGGTTCAATCCCCGTCGTTCGCCCATCAATAAATAGACCATTTGTTATGGAGACACAAGACAAACAAACCTATCAAGCATTTTTTCTGCAAATCATCTCGAGGCTTTCAAAGGCATCCAAGCAATTGGTATCCCATTGAAAGATAGAAACCATAGATTCGCGTCACCTACTAGCTTCAAGCACAAATGGAATGGCTGATCATTCATTTCATTCTATGAAGTTTTTAAGACCTCACTAATCAGGCTTACACTTTTGAGTGAATAATTAATGATGAAATTCACCCCGGATTCAGAGCAAATCTCCCCTCTTACTAAACCATGGGGAGCCCCGAGTAGTTTACCAGGCAAATTGAGTTGTCGTGACGATACCCTGATTTTCTTAGTGGAAGATCGGAAAAGACTGATCTTCATCACGAGACTAATCGGATCTGTCGTAGACACCCGAGAGACCTCCACAAGGCAGACTCAAAGAGTAAGAGGACAATAAGCAAAGAGTGTAAAGCTCCAGCTATTATGGAAGCATTTTACATTACGAAAAGGTCAAGGCTGGCTAATCTAACGGCTAGAACAACAATAACAAGAACAACATTTACTACATTACAAAAGCAAGAAGGTCAAGGTCAGCTACTAACCTGCTAAGAACAACATTTCCATTAGTGAAGGTTCAAGCTTTAGCTATTCTAGAACAAGAAGAAGAAGAACATTTACAGGAAGGTTCTCAAGTTCTAGCTAGTCATGAGCAAGACAAACATTTACATTTACAAAAAGGTAAAGTAATCTAACGTCATGAACAAGCCAAACAACAAGACAAGATTCATAACATACGGAAAGAGAAGCAGCTGCTCACTGACCTATAGAGCAAGCAACCAAGAAAGACAACAAACAACATTCGTATTACTCCGGAAGGGTAAAGCTAATCTCTAGTCAAGAAGAACTACATTGACATTACTATAGAAGGGTCAAGCTTACCTGACGTCAAAGAAGAACTACATTTACATTACGGAAAGGTCAAGCTTCAGCTATTCTGGAAGAACTACATTTACATTACAGAAAGGGGTCAAGCTCCAGCTATTCTGGAACAACAACATTTTACATTACAGAAAGGTCAAGGCTGGCTAATCTAACGTGACGAACAACAAGAAGAACAACATTTACATTACAAAAGCAAGAAGGTCAAGCTCAAGCTACTAACCTGACAAGAACAACATTTACATTACGGAAGGTTCAAGCTTTAGCTATTCTAGAACAACAACAATAACAACTTTTACATTACGGAAGGTTCTCAAGTTCTTGCTAGTCATGAGCAGAACAAACAACACAACTACATTTACATTACGGAAGGTTCTCAAGCTCTAGCAGCTAGTCATGAGCAAGACAAACAACACCATTTTACATTACAGAAGGTTCCCAAGCTCTAGCTATTCGAGAAGAACAACATTTTACATTACGGAAGGGTCAAGCTCTAGCTATTCGAGAAGAACAACAACAACATTTACATTACAGAAAGGTCAAGTTACTAACTTCTAGAAGACAACCAACAACAAGAACTACATTTACAAGCAAGAAGCTCAAGCTAACCTAACGTGACGAACAACAACATGAATTACATACTCCTGAAAGGGCAAGCTAAACTCTAATCTATAGAAAGAAAGAGAAACAACAAGAACAAGAAAACTAACACTAACATGAATTACAAGCAAACTAGGTAAAGCTAAACCTTATTACAAATAGAAATACAATAAAGAATATTGATATCTCTCCCCCCTTGACCACTTACTCTATTTCTCGATATTTCTGTTTGATTGAAAAAAGACTAAATTGATGAATTAGAGTTTTCACTGTCAGACTAATGCCAAAGAGTTTACGGTGTTTAAATAACTAGTCAAAGTAACTGCATAAGAGTAACGAACCTATAGTGTTTCAAGACTCAAAAGAAAGGCTTAAGCCAAGATGCGTTCACTCTTTCTTTCTTTCCCCTGTCCTGTAACCTGATTGACTTTGTATTCTTTGCTTTAACTGTTCCAAGTATTCATTCCTTAAAGCTTGGGCTTGGTATTTGTTATTCTTTCTTCTCTATCTGGCTGCTTGCACCTTAGCTTTGGTTTTGTCTCCTTAACTACTTCCTTCACCGTCTTTCCTCTCTGGCCGTAACCTATTTCTTCATAGATGTAGGACTTAACTAACTACTCTCTCTCCTTATTGGTCTCTTTTCAATCACTTGTCGGGGTAAAAGGCAAAGAAAAGGATTTCTACTTTCAAGACTGAAGAGTAAGCGCGTAAACTAAGACTGAATCATTAGACTCAACAACTCTTTCCTTTGTCCCTTCTTGAACTGTAAGAGAAGAAGAGGGTCAAGCTACTACTCTCTATTAGTGGAACCTTTACACCAAGGCT